ACCTGTCCTCCACCTGTCCTCCACCTGTCCTCCACCTGTCCTACCAGCCCTCCACCTCCACCATGAAGGGCTCTTTCACGGGGATCCTGCCACTGTTCACGATCACACACTCGGTGTACGGCAGGTTCCTGTCGTCCGTGTCCTGAAGCTCGATGGTGTGAACCACAGACTGCACACAGACACACAACAGGTCCAACACACTGTATTAAAGCACAGACAGACTGACAACACACACAAAGATCTCTGATCTGAGCCTGGACCAGGAGGACCAGGTGGACCAGGAGGACCAGTTGGACCAGGAGGACCAGGTGGACCAGGAGGACCAGGAGGTCTCTGAGTTTAGACTGATAAATCAGTCAGGTTTTATAAAACTGATTAAATAAGTTCTGAAACTGAAACTTGTTGTCCTGTAATTGGTCAGGATGCTTCCTGTGTGGGCGGAGCTTCTGAGTTGATACAGGAAGTGAGTTCAGCTGTGGCAGGTTGTCTAAAGAGGACAGGAGGACATTTCAGCTCCATGAAGGACCTGTGAGTTCACTTTGATCCTTCAGTTTGTGAGGTCATTTGGTGACAGTTGTGGGTTTGTGTTGTTGTGTGTCTCTGTGCGGTCCTTCAGTGTTTCTCATGTGTTTACAGGTCTTCAGGAGGATTTAGAGGCTCTTAGAGCTCCTTTAGTTCCTTCATGGTTCTTCTCAGTCTCTGAGGTCAGTCCTGGTCCAGACCTGCTGGTCCCTCCTGGTCCAGTTTATCGGTAAACACCAGAGGTTTACAGTAACTAAGTACTTTTACTTTGTTACAGTACTTAAGTAATTTTTGAGGATTTGTAATGTTATTATTTTTAAAATCATAACTTTAATTTAATTTAAAACCTAAAATGATTGTTTTCTTTAAAGTTGAAGACATAGTGAGTGGTTAAATGTGTGACCTCCTGCTGAGAGGAGGTGTTGAACATGAAGAGTTGGGTTTACAGACCCGGGTCAGCTGGTTCCTCTGGACCCACAGACAACTATAAGCCTGGTTCAGTGAAACCAGTTGGGTTAATTAATTATCACCCCTAAAATTACTTAAAAGCTTTTCAACATTTTTAGGATGCCAAACTAAAAGTAAGAACTGGAGGAAGTCGTCTGATGCCCTAGTTTTCAAAATAAAAGCCCCCAGTAGCCTCTGGAAATGTTTAAAGGCAGAAACTGAATCATTGAGCTCTCAGGAACAAAGACTTTACTGTTCAGTAAGTTTAACAGTTTATCTCTGTGTGTAAAAGTACTTGTACTTTTATTTTCCCAGTTTTTATGAACAGTTTTATGACTTTTACTTCAGCACATTGTTTTAGTTTTATACTTTGTTCATTTCATTTAAAAAAACAAACAATTATATACAATAAAGAAACACAAATAAAACGAAACAAGAAAAAAATCTGACCCTTTAAAAAAATAAATGCAAACAACAATAATCCTGTGCAGCTCCTGTTCTCCCATGTTTGTTCTGAACTGTAACTTCACTGAGCTCTGTACGACGACAATAAAGGTCTCTCTAATCGAATCTTCAAATAAAACAAAGAAAAAAACATAAACTCCTCCTGGAGTAACAACAGAAACACTTTATGATTCATCTTTCTTCAAATAACCAGCTTTGATCTCATCTTTAACATCTCTGCAGATCGTTACATCATCGAATTAACTGGACTGAAGAAACTCCTTCAGACTGGCTCTAAATTAAAATTAACAAACATCTCTGTCCCTAAACATTGTTAATAAAGTTATTTCTGTTCAGGTTGTTTGGAGGACAGGTCCAACTCACCATCCCGTCCAGAACTTTACCAAAGACCACGTGTTTCCCGTCCAGCCAGGGGGCTTTGGAGGCCAGGATGAAGAACTGAGAGCCGTTGGTGTCCGGACCAGCGTTGGCCATACTCACCTGGTACCAGAACACAAAACACACCAGCTGCAGACCAAAGGTTTACAGAGAACATGTGATTTTAACTGCACAAGCCCTGCCCCTTTTCTCATGTGTGTCTCAAAGCAGCTCGTTTTGATGCTGTTCCTTTAAGGTGCTCCAAGCCCCACCCCCACCGGTCCACCCTAGTTAAAGTTTTCTGTCTGTGCAGAACCATTTAATTTACAATTTAATTAAGACAGGTGTGTGTGTGTGTGTGTGTGTGTGTGTGTGTGTGTGTGTGTGTGTGTGTGTGTGTGTGT